TAGCCTGTGCAACACAGACAGACAAGAGAAAGTGAAGTACTTTAGTGTCAAAGCACATAAGATGGGCAAGGATTTTTTTTTTTTTTGAAACATGGGCTGATGGGCAAGGTGGCTAAATAAAGTGTTAGACAAATCGAGGTCTCCTAAAATAATGAATTGTAAGTAATCACTGAACTACTAGACAACATACTCCGTATCATAAGAACAAGGAATAGACAACATACTCCGTATTAAACAATATTTTTCAATTTTTTTTTCATACATTAATAAATAAAAAGTTGTCAAAATAGAACTTGTGGATAGTGTAAAATTCAACAGTGGGCACTTATTTAAGAATGACGACAGTTTTTATTTTATTATTAGTCCAGAACTCCATTTGATATAGGGATTCTTTATTAGTTTCATGGTCATAAATTTGTTAACTACTAAGACTCTGATCATTGTGCTATAAAAGATAGCTTCATTAGTATACATTGAACATTGAACAATGCAAGCAGATTTTAAGAAAATCCCTCAGGGAGTATGGGATCTCATAAATGTCCTAACAGGATAACCCATACCCTAAATTATATACCTCTGTTTCACCTACAAAAAAAACATCCAAGCCTTATACCCAAGGTAGTCAAAAGCGCGCGCATCAGCGCTTAAGCGCACAAGGCGCAGCGAGCTTCACCCCCATCGCCTTAGAATCGTAGAAGCGCAGCTATCTGCCTCAGGCGCAGCAGAAGCGCATAAGCACAGGAAGCACTGAAGCGCTATAAGGCGCACGCTTCAGTCGCCTGAGATGGAAAAGGCTTACAGCCTTTTTTATGTTTAAAACTTTGAAAAGCAATTAGCCCATATCTTTAATAGCACTCAGCCCATGAAAAAAAAGGGTAAACCGAGTTAAACCTACGTAAAACTAAAAGTGAAGTACGTAAAAAGGTAAAACTTGCGCAAGACACTTCAGCTATCATTGCTAGCCATCCTCGCTCTTCACTCTCCTCGCTTTCCTCACTTGACAATCAGCTCTACACAAGACAGCTCTTTCAGTTTCCTTCATCAATCATCATCTGAATTCTGAAGCATACTCAGCTCTCCCTCGCAGCACTAAACAAGGTATGTCTTCTTTTTCATGCAGTCCTCTTTATCCAAATATCATATTACAGTATGTTAATGTATATTAGTGTAAATGTGTAATATTAGTATGTAATACTCAGTACTTAAATATATGTACTCTGCTTTGTGAATTTTTAGTATATTAGTACGTATGTAATACTCATAGTACTCTGCTTTGTGTTGTTTTAGTATATTAGTATGTATATAATACTCATAGTACTCTGCTTTGTGTTTTTTTAGTATATTAGTATGTATATAATACTCATAGACTTATTCTAGATGAGTACTTTTGCTTCAAAAATAATCGTTTGACAGAAAAACACAGTGTTTAACAATAAAAAAACACTTTTTGCTAATGCAAGAATGCAGCAAAGCAGTGCTTCAAAATGCACTTTAAATGAAAAAAAAACTTAAAGAATAAGCTATTCCAATCAGGGTCATAAGTTTTCAACTTTAACAAAATCTAAAAGCATAGGTATTTAAAAGATTTTGTGTGAATACTCCCTCCTTTCAAATCTAGTAGTCTTCAAATGTTGGGAAGACGAACCAAACCTAGTTTGTGGAATGTTTAGCACACTAAGTCTTCAAACGTTTTATGTTATGGATTTGAATGTTGGTTCTCTTTGTTACAAATGATATGATGCAGTTGGAAATTAGAAAAGGTGCAATAAACTAGTATTAAAAAGGAGTTGGAACTAATTTTCATTTTCATTTTCATTCACCCAGTGCCGCAAAGGCTCTCACCTACGGTGGGGTAGGGGGGGGGGGGGTCGGATGTACGCAGAAAGCCAATAATACTAATTGTTTTTAGAAAACTATGTGATGCTTCATGCTACATTCAAGCATAAAGCCAAGAATCCAATACGCCACATGTCCACACCTAGCCCTCTCATTATCTACTGAATACTTGATTCTAGTTTTCCATCATCTCAGCTTCAAAAATGACAGCTCACCAAAAAGTGTGCAACCCACAATAGGAACTATATCATCCAACCATTGCTATGCAGTTAGGCCATTTATAAGATGAAGGATCATTCATCATAAAAATGTCAATATGCCATTACTTTGTTAGATGATGGTAGAATGTGTAAAAAGCATGCATGCAACAAAACCTTTTCCCACTGTGACGTTGTTTGTTTATTGGCGTTTTGTGGCCAAACCGCTGGAAATACCAGCGTTTTGCTTCATTAAAATAACGGCATTTTGCCCCAAACGCTGGTATCCAAACACCACCTATATATGACAGTTCCCAGTCACTTTTACCCTAGAGCCCTAATAATTAAATCTTAGAAATAAAAAATAATTACATATTTATGACGTTGTTTAAATGTTGTTGGTTTCTTAATTCTAAGATTTAATGTTAAGGGCTTTAGGGTAAAATTGACTGTAATAGTATGGCGAGTCTAGTGACTATAATATTAACTTTAATATAGTAACTTATGTTCAATTTTTACACTTACATGACCATGGCATTATATTCACAGTAACTATAGTAACCACTTATGTATAGTGAAGTTTAGTGACTATAATAGTAACTTATGTTCAAGTTTTACACTTACCTAATGATGACATACTAATAGTAACTATAGTCATATTTTTGTAAATAAGTTTTATTTTAGTGATATTTTTGAAAAAATCTCTAAATCCTAACTATGTTAGTATGTTAGAAAGAAAATCCTCTATTGAGAATAAAAAAAAGGAAGGCTAGAATCCACTTCACCTGCAGGAGAATGCTTAGAAGGTCGTTTTGGTTTAGCGAGCAGCAGCTGAGCTTCCATAAACATATGCATCCTCTGGACCTCAAGCTCTTGGGATAACTTCATTCTCTGCTTCTCTAATTCCATAATCTGTTGCTGCTTCGAGCTTTCAATCCTCTCATACATCTCCCCAAAATTCAATATTGCCCGAGCCAATTCCCTGTATGCCGAAGTTTCTTCTGACAAATCCGCATACTCATGTTTACGCTTCCTCCCAGTACCACCATAGAGCTGGTAATCTTCACCTCCATCGCGCGAGCTGTTATCAGAGCCACTGGAATTGAGCTTCGATGAACCACCGGAATAAACTAAAGATCTAGGGTTCAGGTTTAGGCTAGGCTCGGGCTTAAATTTGCTCATGATCGCGGCAGATTTTCTGTTAAAAGAAGACGGCTTTACAGAACCGCTAGTGCCGATGAGGTAATCCAAACGGTCGTAAAGCGACCATGTAGAAGGGGACGATTTCGATTTCTCGAGCTTGTACTTCTTCTTCAGTGTATCAACGCGGTTCTTGCACTGAATATCACTCCGCTGGGGCTTAACGCCATCCTGGCGGGCATTAACGGCGTCAGCGACCTCCTTCCAGTCGTTCTGACGGAGGTTACCTCTGTTCAGCTTGATATAACGATCGCCCCACGCTTCGACCAGAGTCTCCGTCGCTCCTTCGCTCCAGCAATCTTCTCGGCCACCGGCGTTAGTCCGGGGCTTTTTCTGCGCGGTGGGGCTCTCCATATAGCCCGTTTCCGGCGATGGTGATTGGGTTTCGAAGGACGGAGAATTTGTGATTTGCGCCCTAGATGGAGGGAATGGGGTAAGAGGTTGAGGGGGTGTTTGTCGAACATCTGACCGGCAAGGTGAACGTCAGAAGCCTTATTGGACGGAGTGGGCTGTGACTACGATAGTTTGCGGATTTTCCCGATTCATATTACCCTTTTTCGACCGGATTGGACTTGTATCACACGGAATAAAAGTGAACAATTTCCAGGTGAATAATTTCGTGTTAATTCTTGATTTACCGGCGTTTCTGCGATTGAACTATGGAAGCCGGTAGCCGATATGGCCGGTGGCTGCGGCCCGTCTGAAAGTGAAACTTCCCAATGTCGCTGATGATTCTTCAGGCCTGAAGACATAAAATATATGCAGTTCAAGGCCCAAAAGCCCAGCCCAATACGTGTTTTATGAACTGCGTGCATTTTACTCCGATAATTTCTGTATACTACTAGTTTTCTTTGATTCGGGCCTACAAGCGCACTTGACCCGCCCAGTCCAGTACTCCAGTTTTCATTTAAATCCCCACACATCGAGTCTAGGGGTGCAAATGAGCCGAGCCGCTCGTGAGCCGCTCGCTCAATGTTGGAATCAAGTTCGGTCAAACTCGAGCTCGAGCTGAGTTTAAATTGGATCGTTAAGCAATTAGCCCATAAATGAGCCTACTAATTTTAGACCCAGCTCGCGAGCCTAGTTTTATTTGTGCGTATACTTATATTAATATATATTATATCTTAATGTACACTAGAAATTAATATACAATATATATTAGTACATATAATATATTGGGAAAATAGAAACTAATAATCCAACCTTGTAGCAGTATTCTGACAATAGTCTCACTTTTTCGTTATTCGGGAATAATCCAACTTTTGCACCTCATCTTCATTCGCTGGTCCCTGATCGGTTGATAACATGTTATTCCAAGTTATTTTCTTATCTTTACAAAATATTATGTGACCATAATGTGGGATTTATGATTTAATATTTTACAAAGATAAGAAAATAATTTGGAATAACAGGTCATCAACCAGTCAAGGACCAGCAAACAGGGCCGGTCCCGAAGAAATGTAGACCCTGTGCGAGAATAAAATTTGGGCCTTTTTTCAAGTTGCAACACAAGCAAATTGTCTTAAAATACAACTTACGAATAAATGTAATGATAAAAATAGTCATTAATAACTTACAATTTATTTAAAAAGGGACATTCTTCAAACATATTTAGATTTCCGCAGGGAGATTTTGGACTGGGGCATAATACTAATTTTTTTTTGGGAAAAGGGTCAAATAGGCCCCCCTACTATCCCGAAACCGTCAACTAAACCCTTCTACTTTAAAAAGGGTCATATTAATCCGTTTAGTATTTATAAAGAATCAAATAGGTCCAGATGACCGAATAACAACCCATTATTCCCAGTTAAACCTGACGTGGACCGGTGCATATGTTAAATGTCGATTGTTTTCCATGTAAGGACGCGATGGCAACTTAATAGAAGGTGCGAAAAGCTAATGTTCGTTCACCATCGTACAATTTGAAATTAGGGTTCTTCACCATGCTTTTGAAGCTATCTCCCCCGTCGGATCATCTGCGAGAAAGTCCAAAGATTATATTTCTGGTTGTGGAGAAGGAGACCATAGGCATCTAGAAGTTCAGATTTTCTGGATTTGAACAGAGCGAAAGTAAAGACCGACCATCTTCACGAAGCTCAGGTAACTGACCTTAACGTTTTTTGACTTTGACAATGGCAGTTATCTTCCTTGTGAAATGTTACTTATAGTTGCTTCATAATGGTAATTCTTGAGTTCGCAATACCTTGAATTGTACCTCCTGACTAAAACATCCTTACCAGTTGAATTTTTTAATACCTAGAATTCATAATACCTTAAATGTAGGGCCAAGTATGAATTTGTTGTCCTTGGTTTGCATTTATTTTATGTTTAAATAAACTACCTTAACATTATTATTTGTATTTTCAGAATGTATGAAGTAGCAGATTTGAAAATACATCATGGAGGAAATTTCAAAAAAACACCAGAACTTTCTTATGTGAATGGTGAAGTGGGTACTATTACGTTGGACCCGGATATGATTTCATTTCCTCATCTCATGAAGTTTATCACTGAGAATTCTTATAAAAAGGTGGAATCTTTATCCTTCAAATTACCTGATGAGAACTTCAACAAGTTAAGAACATTATGGAATGATGCTTCAACCTTAGAGCTAATACATTTAGCCATGAACTGGGGCACAATTCATATTTTTGTGGAACATGGCATAGATGAGCCTGATCTTATTTCAGTCTTACCTTCGCCTTCAACTGAAGAAGTGAACAGAGATGTGCTGGGTGAAACAGGGGAAACACCAATAGTGCAAAAAGAAAATGGAGGCGTGGACAGAGATAGAAGTCAGTTTGGGGGAGAACTAAATGATGCTGAGATGGGTTGGGTAAAGAACAACACAAATAGGCCAGATTTGGACAGTCAGCTTACGGATGATGACTCTGATTGCAGCGTTTATAATGACTCTGATGACCCCCCTAGTTCTGTCGCAGACTCTCAAGAAGAAGACTACGTTTCTGAGGAGCAGCCCAGACGGAAGAAGACATTGAAGAAGCCATGTTATAATCCTAAAGCTGAATCAAAAAAGCTGGAAGTGGGGATGTGGAAGTGGGGATGTTATTTGATGATGGGAATCAGTTTAAGAGTGCCTTGATCAATTATGCAGTGCAAAAAAAAAAGGATATAAGGTGGATTAAGAATGAGCCTCTTAGAATTCAAGCCGGATGTTCGGCTAATTGTCCTTTTAAGTGCACAGCTTCATGGTCTAGCACGTACAAATGTGTCCAACTTAAGACTTGGGATGCTACACACCAATGTAATGACAAATTTAAATTGAAGATAGTTAGTCAAACTTGGCTAGAAGAGAAATATGAGGATAAAATCAGGGATAATCCTGAAATTCGTAAAGTTGAGCTGCAGAAACACATCCGGAATGACTTAAATATACATGTCAACGTTTCTAAGGTGAAGAGGGTGATAGTTAGAGTGTTGAAAAAGGTCAATGCATCATTCGGGGAACAATTTCGAAGAGTGAGAGACTATGCACAAGAGTGTATGCGCTCAAATCCTGGTAGCACTGTCATTGTGAAGACAAATAGGATTGTTGAAGATGGTCCTGAAGTGTTTCAGAGGATGTATGTTTGTTTTGGCGCTCTTAAGAGAGGTTTCTTAGCAGGTTGTCGAAATATCATAGGTCTAGATGGAAGTTTTCTAAAAGGGATGCTTAAAGGTGAACTACTAAGTGCAGTGGGTAGAGATGGAAACAATGAGATGTACCCGATAGCATGGGCCGTGGTGGAAATAGAGAACACCGATTCGTGGAGATGGTTTCTAGATTTACTAAAACATGATCTCCAGATCGACAACACGTACCATTGGACTTTCATGAGTGATCAACAGAAGGTTTTAATTCATTCTCATTTCATTTAGTCAAGCCATTCTGCCCTTAACTGTTTTAATTGTTAACTAACATCATTCAATTTTGTAGGGACTGATGACTGCAATAAAGGAGTTATTCCCTAATTCCGAGCAGAGAAACTGTTGCATGCATATACATGCCAATTGGAGTAAGAAGCATAAAGGTCATGTCATGAAGATGCACTTTTGGAATTGTGCAAGATGCACCACAGAAGCACAATTGAAAGAACAACTTCATGCGCTTGGAAAAATTAATTCTGAAGCAAAGGCGGATTTAGAAGGGTTTGACAACCATCAATGGTGTAAAGCTTTTTTTAGGACAGATGTGAAGTGTGATATTGTGCACAATAACTTATCTGAGGCATTTAATAACACAATTGTCAAAGCTCGCTCCAAGCCAATCATCCCGATGCTAGAAGCCATCCGATTAGCTACAATGAAGAGGATAGCAAAAAAAGTTGGCTTTGGTAGTAAGTGGGTTGGTAACCATGGGCCTCGGATCATGAAGAAGTTAAATTCAAATATTACCCAAAGTATGGGTTGGAAGGTTAGGTGTTTGGCAGTTACTATCATATATTTCATTACTTACAAATGTTTTTATGTTAAGTAAATGTACTAAATATACTATTCTTATCACAGGTTGTGTTTAATGGTGATGATGGTTACGAGGTGAAACGGGGAAGGCATCAGTACAAAGTTAGACTTGAAGGAAGAATTTGCTCATGTAGAGCATGGGAGTTAAGTGGAATTCCATGTCCACACGCAATCTGTGCTATCTTTGATAGGGGTGGGGACTCCGAAGAGTATATTCATGAGTGCTACTCCAAGGCTGTCTACACCACTGTTTATTCTCACCATCTCGAGCCTATGAATGGGGAGTTGCTTTGGGAAAACACACAACTTAATGATATTGCACCCCCAGTACCAAAAAAAATGTCAGGTAGACCCAAGAAGAAAAGAAATCGTGAAGCCAATGAAGTGCCTGCAGCTGTGAATGCTAGAACAACTCTTTCCAGAAAAGGAAGAGTGATGACATGTTCAAATTGTAAGGTGGCGGGCCATAATAAAGCCAAATGTCCAAATCAAACCACAGATTCCCAACCTAAACAAAGGAAGAGAAGAGAAGAGAGAAAAGAAAAACCAAGGAAAAGAAAGAATCTGACTGGAACTGGAGAACTGGTATGTGTTTTGTGGATTATGTGTAATTTAAATTTTGTTTGGCTTAACTTTTTCATACTTGTATGTGTGCAGGCCGGTGATTCCAATGAACAACCCCTACAAGGAAGAGGTGTGCAGGCCAGTGATTCCAATGAACAAGCCCTACAAGGTGGAGGTGTGCAGACCGGTGATTCCAATCAACAAGCCGTACAAGGTGGAGGTGTGCAGCCCGACAATTCCAATGAACAAGGCCAACTAGGTGGAGGTGTGCAAGGCAGGGGATCATGTGAGCAGTGGGATATGGCAGGCGGGGGCTGTGAGCAGTGGGATATGCCAGGCGGGGGCTGTGAGCAGTGGGATATGGCTTAGATGTTGTGGTTTAACTCTTTTGTCAATGGATGTGATCTTGTTGTATTTTCAGTAGATGCTTTTTTGTGAAAACAATGACATACTACTAGTTCACTGCCGTATCTATTGCTCATAATGGCTTTTTTGTAATATGTATTGGGTAGCATATTTGTGTTTATGGAAACAGTGATAAACTAGCAGTACACTACCATAGTTAATGCTTATAAAATGGCTTTTTTGCAGTATGTATTGGTCATATATAGGTTGTATTTTGTATGGTATTGTATGGTGACACTTTGGTGTTTGGTGCATTACATGGTGCATTTATGAACCTGTTCTATCAAAGTCATATAGTAATATGGCAGTTTGATAGAGAAAAAGTGGGCTGGAGGAATTGAAATTCCTTATAATTTAAAATCAGTTGGGGGATCTGTTAATCCTTTTCTACAAATTGGAAGAATTGTTATGTAGTTATTCCTTACAAGAAACAATTGCACTCATCTAACGAGTAAAGTGTTAAGTTTCTTGACTTTAGTTTAGAAAACCCCGCCTATCAGACAAAAAAAGCACGATGGTTTTTTTGTTTCAGGTACTGAGACTCATTCAGTACTTTAAAGTGAATGGAGTTAATGAGTAAAGTGTTGAGTTTCTGATATGGAGTTAGTTAGTAAAGTGTTCAGTTTATTGAACTTATTTCTCAAAACCCCACTCATTTAAAAGTTCTTGACATCTGTTATTCCATTATAACAGCATAGAGTACTAAACCCCACCCATATCAGACAAATAAAACAAGCAAAAAAGACCAACATCAAACTCCCTGAAAGCCATGCCCTGGAGAATCTATCAGAAAGTCACCATTTTGTTATAAACATTCTGTATGCAACATGTATTGCACAAGAGAAAGGTTTTATATGCACAACAGAAAGGTCTATTACACTTCGTAATAAGGTCTAGCTACTATTTGTAACTAAACATCACACTAAAGTACATTAAACTTTATAATAAACTTCATAATAAGGTTGAGAATAATGGTGAAGTACGTTACATATCTTCCCAGTCATTACATACTAAACAACACATTTGAAGTACAGAAACCTCAAACCAAAACACTAAACTGCTACTTTGAGCCCTTAACACTAAGCTAAACACTTAACACACACTTAGCACTTAATTCCTCCCCTGCAACACAAAAATAAAGATACAAATTGCTACAACAACTGCTATTAAGATGCTCTTAAGCTTTTTGTTTTCCTCAATTCCAGATTCCACCGCAACGTTTAAATGGCCTACTTTAGCTGTTAACTCCAAAATCAATTTCTTGACCTCCTCACAGCATTGCACAGGATTTCCTCGGTTTTGGATTTCCATATCCTCTTTCCAAGCAAAGAATCCACACCCTGCTCCTTCCTGCATTAAGTTAGAATGAATTAATTCAAAGACACACAGTAATTCGAACATTGAATTATCATTTAAAGATCATTTAAACACCAATTGAGTTTTGAAATACACTCTGCCCTTATGTTTAATTCAATAATTACTTGAATTAATTTAAATAAATCAAAGAACTAAGCTTAATATGCCGGAAATACCTTCCATTTTTGGCAACCGAAGAAGTTCCACCCAGATTCTCTCATCATGCACAAAGGTGCTTTTAAATCACAATTACAGTACACAGGAGGTTCGTAATGAAGAATCGGGCCTGCCTTGCTACTTCTGGAGATGAACGACGCAGAAGACATTTTCAGCTGCGATGAAGAACTTCACGTTGGCTAACAACCCTAGCTCTGGACTTCACAACAGAGGATGGAGAACTTGAAATAAAAGAGAGATTATGAAGAAACCGGAAATGACGTGTAAATAACCTCCACATTTGGCAAAACAAGTGTCCAAATAAGCATCTACCGGTTGCTGCGGGTTGCTTTTCGGTCATATGAGTGTAAATGTCCGTTTCTTAATAGTATAGGAGCTGCAGTGACCCTTTTTAAAGTAGACGGGTTTAGTTGACGATTTTGGGATAGTAGGAGGGCCTATTTGGCTCTTTTTCCTTTTTTTTTTGGGCCCTTCAAAAATCCGGGCCCTGTGCGGTCGCACTGGGCACACATGCCCTGGGCCGGCCCTGCCAGCAAATAAAGATGGAGTGCAAAGGTTGGATTATTCCTGAATAACTAAAAGGTAGAACCATTGTAAGAAGACCGCTAAAAGGTTGGATTATTAGTTTCCATTTTCCCTAATATATATGATTATATATATAATATGGATTAATAAATGTATATGAAGACTGAGGAGATATTATTAATTATAAAGTAATTTAAAAAAATAATCAAAGTAGCATCCACTATATATTTCTTCATGATTTGACCACTTTTGATTTTCAATAGAAGTACAATTGAGTGGAGGCTTAAAGTTAGGATTATATTTTGTTTATATTTCGTTCCCGTATCTCGAGTTTCAGTTTAATCATCATGGCTTGACCAGTTTTTATTTATTTTGGACAATATTTACTCTACTTTTAGTTGTAACGCATGTAAATTACAATTTGCAAATGTTAAGCACAAATATTCAAAGTTTGTTCATACTTGAGCTCGAGGTCGAACACGAACTTTCGAACTAATTGAACTCGTAACTTTTCAGTTGACGAACCAAAATTATTGACTCAATCAAGCCGAATAAAACCATCTCAATATTTGCGAGTCAAGCTCGAGACCATATTTTTTAAGCTCGTTCAAGCCGAGCTCGAGCTAGAGCCAATACAATATATTTTGAGCTCGGGCCTATACATAGATTCGGGCTCTGTTCATTTGCACCCGTAATCGAGCCGAAACAATACGCATAGATTTAAGGATGTTTTTATTGGGATTGTAATTTGGTGGTTTGACCTGCTTAAGTCTGATCTAGTATGATCTATTTAAATCTGATATGGTCTAGTCTGGTATAGTAATCGTCTGGTCTCTATCTATTTTATAAGTATGGAAGTCAATTCTGATCTGGTCTGGGACAAAATAAAAAAAAATTGTAAGTAAAAACATCTTAAATCATTATTACGACTTCATTGATCCCAAAAGTTAAATTCAGCATAAGTATCTTTTTAAATTAATTGGGTTGGTTTCAATTTCAAATCAAACAAAATCAAACTAAGAGCCTGTTAGGTAACTCTGAAATCGGCTGAATCGACAGATTCTGCTGAAATTTGTGAAGTTCTGGTTGAATTAGTTGTATTGGTTGATTGTTACTAAAATAAATAAAATTTTATATGAAAAAATAGATAAAATGGTCGTCTGTAGTAATTTCAGCCAATTCAGCCAAAAAAGTAACTCTGACTTTACTACTTATTATTATACAATTTAGCGCACGAAGTGAAAAACATTCAGAACTTGCAAAAAAAAAAAAACTAAAAACATTCAGATATATAGTTCTTTCAAAATTTATCTAACTCTCACGCTATTGTGATTTGTGTATATGATTCGATTTTAGATCGTTGTATGACTTAGCTTGTATCCTATTTTAGTCTTCAAAATAGCCAATTTTGAATCTGCTGCATTTCCAAACACTACTAGTCGTTTACCAAAATCGCGTTTTTCAAAATTTTCTAATTTTTTTTTATCAGACTATAAAATGTACTAACATTTTTACTTGATAAAATTTTCCCAAATTTTAAATTTGTAAATCAGAATATTACTTCTTTGGAATCGTTGATTTTCAGATATAAGTTTCTTTTCGGAAAGTTACTCGAGCATGAGTAATTTTCTAAGTCATAGTTATTATTTCTCTAAAGGGGACTTCTAAAATCAATTCCAAAAGTGACCTCTAAAATTAATGCAATTAAGCATAATGATGAGGTAAAAATGTTTTGTCAATTTCAAAATATGAAATTCCTACCAAGAATTTGTACTTTTATCAATTCCACTATAGAAACTCCTACTAAAAAATTTAATGCAAATAATCCAAGTTCGTAAACCTGCCTACATGAATATGTTAAATCTCCAATGCGTCAAAGTCAATTCACCATGTCTTATATCCCTTAAGAAAAGTAATATAGTAAAGATATAAAGAAACACTAAACTCAAGTTTATGACAAGAGTTGACAAAGTCAGGACAATATGATTATGTATAAAACATCGAAATGATTATTTAAGCCTCGGAAAAATCTCGATTAAAAAAATAACTACCTATCTATCAACTTGGTGGATAAAGTGATCGATAAACATAAGTACATACATGGAACATATCAATATATTACTTGATAATGAAAAAATAACTTTGATTTGATTTTATAATTGTAAGTGTTTTAGATAAAAGTATTAATAATTAAAGGATGTATAACATTTTATCAAATTATTTGAAAGTAAATAGTTCAAACGGTACACAACCACCAATACTTTTTGAATAACTCTTGTCATGTTTAAGCACATGAATCTTATCGGTACAAAGAATTGATTTTTGAATTGCAATTTTTGTTTACCAAAAAAGGTGTTCGTAAGTCATAAAGACTAAGGAGTTTTGCTAATATTACAATAGTATGTATGATATTATTATTTTTAGAATAATATTATATTGATAATTCTTATATATGGTGCATATTAAATTTGTATTAGTGCTAACATAAGTTTTTTTTATCATCAAAACATGTCTCTATTCATATCAAAAGATTCAGAATCATTACATCAAGCAAAGGGAAAATAAAACTGACATCAACTGAAACTCCAACAACTACGACTGTAACCCTATGGTGAGACTTTGAGACAGTCACCCCTGAAAGAGCAACATGAATCGCTAACCATGTAGTGGGATTGACACAGCGAAATCTGTTCACATAGATCCAACTATACCCAATGACATAAAGAGAGGCTAAAAACTCAAACAAATTGTCAAAACCAACAATAAAGATGAGCACAAGAAAACAAATGACAAACAGAAAAGAATTACTAGGAATACTTTCACGAACTCTTGCACCTCATACAACTCATGGTGGTGGTTCAGGCGGAGGTCGGACCGTCGCTCGATTGATACACTCTTTCAGTGGAGTACCCGCCGTATGACCCAAATTCATGCCATCGAATGGAGCGTTCAGCCTCTCCACGCTAACCATGTCTTGATCAACCCTACGTCTCTCTCTTGCTTCTTCCATCATCTTCTCGCTGCCAAGGTCATCCATCCCGAGCTACATCCAAACCACGGCAATCCGGCGCAGTGCTGCGTCGATTGAAA